TCCTCCCCTCCCAATCCTGTTCTCCCTTCCCTTCTCCACCCATGCCCCTTCCCCAGGCCACTGATAGGGGAGGACTTCCTCCCCTTCCTTCTGATCCTAGTCTATCAGGTCTTATCAGGAGTGGCTGCATTGCCTTCCTCTGTGGCCTGGTAAGGCTGCTCCCCCCTCAGGGGGAAGTGATCAATGAGCAGGCCAATCAGATTATGTCAGAGGCAGTCCCTCTTCCCATTACTATGTAACCCACTTGGACACTGAACTGCCATGGGCTACATCTGTGCAGGGGTTCTAGGTTATCTCCAAGAATGGTCCTTGGTTGGAGTATCAGTCTCAGAAAAGACCCCTGTGCCCAGAGTTTTTGGTTCTGTTGCTCTCCTTGTGGAACTCCTGTTCCCCCCAGGTCTTACTATTCCCCATTTCTTTCATAAGATTCTCTGCATTCTGCCAAAAGATTAGCCATAAGTCTCATCATCTGCAGGGCAGATCCTTTCAGAGGCCCTCTGTGGCAGGCTTCTGTCCTGTTCCCTGTTTTCTCCTTCTTCTCATTACTATCTTCTTTGCCTTTCTGAATGGGGATTGAGCATTTTAGCCAGAGCCCTCCTTCTTGATTAGTTTCTTTAGATGTACAGATTTTAGTAGATTTATCCTATATTATATGTCTAATATTCACTTATGAGTGAGTATATACCCTGTGTGTTTTTCTGCTTCTGGGATACTTCACTCAGGATGATCTTTTCCAGTTCCCACCATTTACCTGCAAATTTCATGATTGCCTTGTTTTTTATTGCCGAGTAATATTCCATTGTATAGATGTACCACAATTTCTGCATCCATCCTTCAGTTGAGGGGCATCTGGGCTGTTTCTAGCTTCTGGCTATTACAAATAAAGCTGCTACAAACATGGCTGAGCAAAGGTCCTTGTTGTGTACTTGAGCATCTTTTGGATATATGCCTAGGAGAGGTATAGCTGGATCTTGAGGAAGCACTATTCCTAATTGTCTGAGAAAGCACCAAATTGATTTCCAAAGTGGTTGTACAAGTTTACATTCCCACCAGCAATGGAGCAGGGTTCCCCTTTCTCCACATCCTCTCCAGCATGTGTGGCTGCTGGTCTAACTGGATGTTAACATGTAGAAAAATGCAAATACATCCTTACTTATCACGCTACACAAAACTAAAGTCCAAGTGTATCAAAGACCTCAATATAAAACCAGACACACTAAACCCGTTAAAAGAAAAAGTGGGGAAGAGCCTTGAACTCACTGGCACAGGAGACAACTTCCTGAACAGAAGACCAACAGCTCAGGCTCTAAGAGCACCAATCAATAAATGGGACCTCATGAAACTGAAAAGCTTCTGTAAAGCAAAGGACACTGTCCTTAGAACAAAACGACTGCCTACAGATTGGGAAAAGATCTTCACCAACCCTATTTCTGACAGAGAGCTAATATCCAGAAGTTAAAGAGCAACAAATCAATTAATCCAATTAAAAGTGGGAAATAGTAAGAGCTGGAGGGGACTGGAACTCCACAAGCAGAGCAACAGAACAAGATAATTTGAACACAGGGAACTTCCCAGAGACTCATACTCCAACCAAGGACTATTCCTGGAGATAACCTAGAACTCCTGCACAGATGTAGCCCATGGCAGTTCAGTGTCCAAGTGGGTTACATAGTATTGGGAAGAGGACTGCCTCTGACATAATCTGATTGGCCTGCTCTTTGATCACCTCCCCCTGAGGGGGGAGCAGCCTTACCAGGCTAGAGGACAATGCAGCCACTTTTGATGAGAACTGATAGACTAAGATCAGAAAGGAGAGGAGAACCTCCCCTATCAGTGGACTTGGGGAGTGGCATGCATGCAGAAAGGGGAGGGAGGGTGGGGTCGGGAGGGGTGGAGGGAGGAGCTTATGGGGGGATACAAAATGAATAAAGTGTAATTAATAAAAAATTTTAAAAAATGGGGTATAGAGCTAAACAGAGAATTTTCAATAGAGGAATATCTAATGGCCGAAAACATTTAAAGGACTTTGCAGCCAGTCCTGAAGATACCTGATAAAATAGGATCAGATGAAAGGGGAGGAGTCCCTCTCCAATCAGTGGACTTGGAAAGGGGCAGGGAGGAGAGGGCGAGGGAGGGTGGGATTGGGAGGGAATGAGGGAGTGGGATACAGCTGGGATAGCGAGCTAATAAAATGTAACTAATAATAAAAATTTAAAAAAATTAAAAAAGAAATGCTCAGTGTTCTTAGTCATCAGGGAAAGGCAAATCAAAACGACCCTGAGATTTCACCTTACACCCATCAGAATGGCTAAGACCAAAAACTCAAATGACAACACATGCTTGAGAGGTTTTCCTTTTCCAAATGCAGTTTGTAAAGGTTTCTTCAAACTTTGTTGAAAGTCATCTAAATGAGTCATCTGTAGTCTTATTTTTCTTGTCCTTTTCCGTTGTTCCCTCTGTCTGTTTTTATGAAAAGGCAATGCTCTTTTGATGATTCTAGATTCACAGTATCTTGAACTCAAGTAGTGTGATAACTCTAGATTTCTCTCTCTCTCTCTCTTTTTAGTAAAGAAAAATTACCGCTTAGATTTTAATTTCTTATAACTCTTTAGCACCAAAGGATAATCTCCACTGAAGCTTATTAAGTCTATGGGCATTTTTTTGTTGTTGTTCAGCAGCAAACAAAGAGTTCTTTCCTTAAAATGATAGTCCATTTCCCCATGCTTCTCCTGAGGGCTGAAGTTTTACCTTGTCTTCTGTCACCTGCTTATGATTTGACATTGCAGGATTATGTCTGATTTGCAGAGAAAGATCACTAAGTTAAAACAAACAAACAAACAAAAAAAAAAAAAACCCAACAAAACCCCCAGAAACTATGAGTTGTGTGGGACCACCAATTCTACAGGACTCTATTACAACCTGAGGTTATGGTATGGGCACAGGACAAAAGCCCACATTTCTATTGACTGTGTACTGAAGTGACACTGGCCAGAATAAAACTCTACTAGATTAGAGCTTCATGCCTGCTCTTGATACTAGTCTATTTCAAAATGCTATTTGTTGACATCAGCCTGGGGATAAGAGTTGTTAAGACCTGCCCAGTGTTAGATTTTATGATTCTGGCACTGAATTCCAAGGCAAAGCCATGTGTTAATTACTTTAATTTATTTCAGTGAATGTGGTATTTTTCTATGTCATAAAAGTTGGGGTTGTGTTGGTGAAGGCAGCCGTTTGACCATTGAAATTGATATCAAGTTGGCCATTGCTCAACTCCAATACCCTCAAGAACATGTACATTCTCCAGGATCACTAAATTCCATAACACAAATGGCAAAGATAAGGAAAAACACAACTCCATTTCAATAGCACATTGGTTTCTGCCTCATATAGGATATTTCTAGAGGTATTGTCTTGGGGCCCTTGATTAGAGATAGCTGATATTTCCCAATTTAGAGATAGGGCAGTAATTCTCAACCTGTGTCATGACCACTTTGGGGTCTCATATTAGATATCCTGCATGCCAGATATTTATATTGAAATTCATAACAGTAGCAAAATCACAATTATAACGCTGCAACAAAATAATTTTTTTGGATAAGAGTCACCACAACATGAGGAACTGTATTAAAGGGTCATAACCTTTGGAAGATTGAGAACCGCTGGGCTAGAGTAATAAAATTCTCAACTTTAGTTGTTCACAGTGAGCTAAGTCACACTTGTATCTGACAGCTTTAGACCTGTGATGTCAAAGTTGGGGAGTGGGTAGATACTTGAAATCCATTGAATGACTGCTGTTGATGCAGACCCCAAAATAGAGTCTATCTCCTTGGGATATAGTTCACAGAAGGATGTTGGGAGAAGGCCTAGAGTAACTGTCTTTGAGCCTTGGCCTCAGTATGTGGTCTTTGTATTCTGCTCTTTTTGGTTCTCATTCAGGTGGATCTAGAAGTGAAGCAAAGATACAACCCTGTGAAAGCGTTAAGGTCCTACTGCAGGATGCTTTATCTTCCCTGCTCTACCATCTGTGGATTGGCAGTGGATGATAGGGTTAACTTTCAGTCCTACCTATCACAGTTCCATGCTTCAGTCAATTGGGAGCAGGCAGGAGATAGAGTTCAGAAAGTTCTGTCCATCTTCAAATTTCACTGGGACTGGTCAAGTATGAAGCCTGGACTTAATTTCCTTTCTCATCCTTAATTTGGAGGCATCCCTCCGCACCCCATTAATTGGTATGGGGAGATAATTGGTTTGGGGAGCAAGTATGTCCTTCGTTAGCCTTCTTCAATATGTCATTTCTTTTGATTATATTAAAACCAGCATCATGGCCTCTCATCAGGCTTCTTTAGTACTTATGAAAATTTCTGGTTATGGCAAGTGTTCAGACTAGTGTCAATGACAGCATCATTGCTGGAGCATTTTATTAAGACATCACCTTTCTCTTTCTCTATGCTTTCTTTAAGTGATAAGACTTCTTAACCAGCCCATTGCTGGAACATTTTGGTATTCATAAAGCTCAGAATCATTAGGCCTTGGCACAAATTTGTTCGGATGTGAAATAAAAGTGTGAAGAAACAATGATAAAATGTTACCATAGCTTTAGATCAAAGGAGTAGTTATTAATTAAAAATGAATAAGATTTTGATTTTATTTTTGCATATTCAGGAAAGAATACATGTATATACTTTATTAATTCACTTACTATTTCTTCATTCCCAATACTTGCTTTCTAATATGTAAGCATATACCTACAACCATTTTGTTGCCTTTATTAATATATTCAATGACTTTAATGTTATACTTATTGAGTAAAAATATGCATATGTAGTAAAATCAGTTAAAACATAAAATATTTCTGAGAGGTAATATGTTCCTAAATGTCTCCTATTGTCCTGGACACATGTAAAACCTCCTGAGTGACACTGTCTGACTTAGCACAAAGCAGACAAAGGGTACAGAAGAAATTCAGGGAATACACTAATGATATATACAGAAAGACTGACCTTCTTAAAGTTTTTGTTCAAGTCGACCAGACTGAGCAGAAATACATGGTCTTTGGCTCCTAGGAGCAACATGCCTCTCTCCTCATCCAAAAGAAGCGTCTGGAAATCCATTCCTTCGGATGAACCCAAAAACGGGATGCAGGTGTTTGAAAGGAGCAAGTCTACAGGAAAGTAAAATGAGGGAAAGAAAGGAAAAAATTCTCAGTAGGAATTAAATCTGCTTGCCAACATATACATATCAATCAACTTCGTGAATGTCCCTCTGCAGCATGGACGCTCCAATGTTAGCACCAGGGAACAGGCTTCATGTGCTCTCTTTCAGAAACAGATTCCATCTGTTTATAAAATACATTTTAAAATTAACATAAAACCTTGATCCATAACATAAAAATTTTACAAATACAGATCCTAATTTATAATTGAAAGCATTTCCCTGTAGTGATATTTGAAAACTGAGAAACTTAATAGCATCAACAATGCATAAAACATTGTAACGAATGTCATGGAGAAGTGGGAGACAGTAAGACCTGGAGGGAACAGGAGTTCCACAAGGAGAGCAACAGATCCAAAAAATCTGGGAACAGGAGTCTTTTCTGAAACTGATACTCCAGCCAAGAACCACTCATGGAGATGGTCTGACCCCTGCACAGAGGTAGCCTATGACAGTTCAGTATCCAAGTGGCCTCCTTAGTAATAGAGTGTGTGTGTGTGTGTGTGTGTGTGTGTGTGTGTTAGGGGTGTTGGTGGTATGTGAGTGCTGCTAATCCAGAGGCCAGAGGGGTCATATCTTCCTGGAATTAGATTTTCAGGCAGTTTAGAGCCGCCTGAAATGGATGTTGGGAATGAACTCATATCCTCTGGAATAACAATATGCATTCTAAGCCAATGAACTAGCTCAACACCACCTCTCTCTCTCATTTTTTTTTTTACAGTGTTTAGGTTGGTGTACTGTCTGAATGATTATATTCTCAATTTTTTTTTGAGATTATACTAAAATTATATCTTTTTCCTTTCTCTTCTCTAAACCCTCCCACATACCCCTCATTTCTCTTTTACAAATTTATGGTCTCTTCTTTCTTGACTGTTAAATCCATGTATATACTAATAAGGGTATATCCATATACAGTTCCAAATACATAGACATAATCTGCATGGTCTCTATCTCTATAACGTTACCTGGATGAATGTATTCAAAGCTGCACATTTATGTTAGAGGACAAACTGCTATGCCCTTTCCTGGAGAAGACTATTCTCTGTCTCTCAGAGTTGCTTAGCTGTCTACAGTTCTTTGTGTAGGGCTGAGGCCTCCTGGGCTTTCCTCAGCCACTTTAGCATGTCTGTTGTTTTCCTTGTTCTGTTCATGTTTAGGCAGCTATATTACTGGGACTCTATGGGATTCTTGGCAACAACCATACAAAACACATCATTGTAGAAAACCAAAGCCAATTAAAATGGAGAGTTGTGAAGCCCAGTCTCAATGAAAACATCTCAGAAAAAAAAAAAATACTCCTTCATCTATTGCTCAAGGGCCATTTTGGAAAGATTGTAAGAGTCAACTGGTCAGGGAGTTTGCTGTGAGACCATGCCTGCTAAAAATGCACACTTTCTTCCTAGTTTAGATGTATACTTCAAGTTTAGATTAATAAGTTAGATAAAATAATAAACAAAAAAACTGGAATTAATCCTGAAAGAAGTGTGGTCTGAAACTAGAAATAGAATTTAAAAAATTAAAACTGGAGGTGAGCTTAAATGGCTTACTACAGATTTATAATGTCACAAATGAACATATTTCATCTCCATGAAGTGAAAAAGCACATCCTATAGTACTTTGTATGGTGTCAAACATGATAATTATTTTGAATTTCTTAGTTTCATTCTCTTTGAGACCTGTCTAGGCCCAGTGTTTTTGGTTTGTAACAATCATAAACAGACATTTCTTTTTTTTTATATTTCTTTATCACAATTTATTAAATTTGTATCCCCAGTATAGCCCCCTCCTTTGTCTCGTCACAGTCCCACCCACCCTCCCTCTTCTCCCCCTATGCCCTTTCCCTAGTCCCCTGGTAGGGGAGGTCCTCCTCCCCTTCCATCTGACCCTAGTCTATCAGGTTTCATCAGGGCTGGCTGTGTCATCTTTCTCTGTGGCCTGGCAAGGCTGCACCACCCAGGGTGGGGTAATCAAAAAGCCGGCCACTGAGTTCATGTCAGAGACAGCCCCTGTTCTACTTACTAGAGAACCCACTTGCAAACTGAGCGCCAATGGGCTTCTTTTGAACAGGGGTCTAGGTCCTCTTTATGCATGGTCCTTGGTTGGAATATTGGTCTCTGAGTTCCTGTCTCTTCCAGGTCTTTCTATCTCTCTCTTCTTCCTTCATTCTGCCCAAAGTTTGGCTATGATTGTCAATATCTCCTTTGATACCCTGGTGGGTAGTCTTTCAGCAGTCCCCTGTGGAAGGCTCCTCTCCTGTTCCGAGTATTCTCCTACTTCCGATGTCTTTCCTGTTTGCCCTTCTGAGTGAAGTTTCAGCCTCTTCCCTAGGGTCCTCCTTGTTGTTTAGCTTCTTTAGGACTATAGATTTTACTATTTTTATCCTATATTATATGGCTAATATCCACTTATAAATGAGTATATACCATGTGTGTCCTTCAGCTTCTGGGTTACCTCACAGGATGAATCTTTTCTAGTTCTCACCATTTCCCTGCAAATTTCATGATTTCCTTGTTTTTAATTGCTGAGTAGTATTCCATTGTGCAAATGTACCACAGTTTCTGTATCCATTCCTCTTTTGAAGGACATCTAGGTTGTTTCCAGATTCTGGCTATTAAAATGTAAACTAGACCTTTGTAATGGATTTTTTTTTTTTTTACCAAAATAGATTTCCAAAATAGTTACCAAAATAACTGCAATAGTATCTTAGACTTCTGTAATCCTGGAGTACTGATCACCATTAAGGTACTAATAACAAATTTATCACTTTACTAAAGTTGATTTTGTGAAAACTGAAAAATAGCTGATATTTTTGAAGTAATTGTCTATTGATATAAGAAAGATAAAAAGATAGATCCTAGAAATAGAGATATTGCAATTTCAAAATTATGGTAGTCTAACCTGCTTATAAGATAAAATTTATTTCCTCAAGTTTAATGTCTATATTCAGCAGAGGATATGTTTTTATTTTATTTTCTACTTACTATTAGATAATTGTTATTCTGCTCAATTTCTAAGCCAGACTAGAAAAATTAAATTTACAATACTGAAAAAGGTATAACACAATCAGAAATCTCAAGAGACTATGGTTATCGAACAAAACTCCTTCATTAATATTTATAAAGGACATTTTCTGCACAGTAGATTGACATTGAAATCCATGATCACTTTTATTGAGGTAAATATCATTTTTCATATGAGAGGTATAATATTGCAATATAATTTTTTTAACTTCAAATGCCAAAGGCCTATGTTTTGGCCCATTTTCAATGAACATTCCATACTGGTTATAAGAAGAATTGAGGAAAAAAAATGAAATCAGGGGAACGGCTGAGACAGACATGATTAAAGCCTCTTAAAAGAGTACATTTCATAGAAAGCTTCACTCCGTCAGGCAGAACTGTATCTTCCTTGGGATTTCCCTTAATAAGTGTTAAAATGTGCAAAATCAATAGTATTTTAAGAGACTCCCAGGAGTATGTTCTCACTTAACGAGTAAAAGCATTTTGTGTGATATAAACCTCATTACTTCAACTTTCCAAAACTAATGGTTATTCTGAAACATGGATCATAATGAAAATTACAAAATGAAACATGACTTAGTATAATGAGCAATAGTATATTAGTACAAGAGTTAGTTCAAAGAACCAAGATCCTAACCTTGGTTGACATATCATTGACAATGTGATTTAGTAATCTAGGACAATTTCTTTGACTTTTCTGTCTGTTTCCTAATACAAAAAAAGGAAGACAATAGAAATGTGGAAATTCCTTCATCTTGCCAAACAAAGGAATTACAAAGAGGTTGGCATTAGAAAAATGGTTGGCACATACAACATTTTATGTGCTGATCAGCTACGACAGTGATGATGATAATATGTATTTTTAAGTTTATGTAAATTCTATGCAAAGAAATTATAACACTTTCCATTCATATACTTTTTTGACAAGTAGAAGAAGTAATTTATAGCATTCCTAAAACTATGACTTGTAAATTTTAAAAAGTTAATAAATACTATAATAACCTCCACTTTGGGCAGAAAAACATTTTATTAAAGAAACATATTATCTTCTAATAAACCAGAACTATACAAGTTGAAACATATCTGTAATTTATGATATTAGGATAAAATTAAAAGAATATTTGTTACCCAAATATTTTGTTATGTAGCATATGTTAGGCAATGATCAGGGTGCTCACAGTACTTTATTAAAGAATTCTGCCAGCAAAAACTCTTGGATCATTGCATATATATGTATACACACACATATATTTCACATAAATCTTCACTTAATCAGGTAAATCTGTATCTTCATTGAAATTTCATTTAATAGTATATATATATATGTATGTATCCGTGTTTGAAAAAATATCTGAAAAAACACAATGCATATGGAATACATTCTAGGAGGGGTCCAAATCTTTTTTCTGAGACATCCATTGACCAGCATCTCCCTGCTGTGTCCTCTACCTCCACAACATCATCATCATGGCTTCAAAGTCACTTAAAAAAATGATTGCCTGATGAATCATCAGGTTAGAATAGACTAAAGCTATATTGCACCCCAATACCTATGCCATTCACATGTCTTCATCATATCAGACCAACACTATAACTTGTTATATCATTATGATAGCCAAGTACCATTCAACAAGATGATTGGATAAAGACTATGCACATGCTGGTTTTATGTCAGTTAATTATTATAATACCACTTATTGGCATTGATTATTTTTACTTCATATATCTTTTGATATATATTCCGAGAACAAACATAATATATGAATATTTCATTATCTTTGGCATTTTTTTTTTTATTCTGTCTGTTTTGGAAATCACTTCCAACGGGGGGGAAAAAAGAACAAATCTGTGTCATTGTTCTTTCTTGGGATGCATTCAATTTATGACAAAAACTAGGTCTTTCTTGTATTTAAGTTTCTAGCAGCTACTT